TGCTAGGCAAGTGCTCTACCACTGAGCCACTACCCCAGCCCCTTATTCCCACTTTGTGGATGAGGGACGTCTTAGCCAATGTCACCTGCTGGTAAGTGTTGAGGACTAGATTTCAAACATTGACTCAATGGTCTCTAAAATGGTATTCTATACTGGTTATGGGACAGAGATCCTTGTTATTTCTTGAATAGCTTACGATGGCATATAGTTCACAGGAAATTAAAATCACCAAGGTCATTTCTGTTTTCAATGTTGCATACAATTTTCCAGAACAAAATATCAGACATTATTGACTATTAAGAACTAACCTCATACCTCACCTGGAAGGATCTATTTTCTAGGTACAGAATTCTAGGTTAGTTATTTTTCTTTCAACACTTTCAGAATATTTCCCTGGACTCTTTTTTCTTATTTGCATGATTTCTATGTGGCCCATGCTTTATTTTTTCCATAATGTTGTGTATAACGGTGGGATTTGTTGTTACATACTCATACATGCACACAGTGTGACGACATAATTTGGCCAATATTATTCCTCCAGATTTCCCCTCTCTCCCACCTCCCTTCCCTGGACCCTTTCCTCTACTCTACTGATCTCCCTTCAATTTTCATGAGACACCTTCACACCTTTCTTATCCTTTTTCCTCTCTAGCTTCCACATGTGAGAAAAAGAATGACCCTTGCCCTTCTGAATTTGGCTTAGCATAATGAATGGTTTCAAGCTCCATCTATTTTCCTGCAAATGACATAATTTCAGTTTTATGAAATGGCTGAATAAAACTCCATCGTGTGTGTGTGTGTGTGTGTGTATGTATGTGTGTATGTATGTATATGTGTGTGTATGTATATGTATGTAAGTGTGTATGTATGTATGTATGTGTGTGTGATATATATATATATATGACATTTTCTTTATCCATTCATTTATTGGTGGACACCTAGGCTGGTTCCATAGTTTGGCTGTTGTGAATTGTGCTACTATAACATGGGTGTGCGTAGATCATTAGAGTGTGCTGGCTTTGATTCTTTAGGATAAGTATCAAGGAGTGACATATCTTGGTCACATGGTGGTTCCATTCCCAGCCTAATTGAGGAACCTTGCACTGATTCCATAGTGGTTGTTCTAATTTACAATCCCAACAGTGTAAAAGTGTTCCTTTTTCTCCACGTCCTCTCCAGAATTTATTATTGTTTGTATTCTTAATGATTATCATTCTGACTGGAGGGAGTTGAAATGTCAAGGTAATTTTGATTTGCATTTCTGAAATTGCTAATGATGTTGAACATTTTTTCACATATTTATTGATCCTTTGTATTTATTCTTTTTTGGGGTGGGGTTGGGGATTGAACCCAGGGCCTTGTGCGTGCTAGGAGGCACTCTCCCAGCTGAGCTGTATCCCCAGCCCTGTATTTGTTCTTTTGAGAAGTGTCCATTTAGTTCATTTGGCCATTTGTTAATTGGGTTATTTGGTTTTTTTTGGTGTTAAGTTTTTTGAGTTCTTTGTATATTCTGGACATTAGTCCTCTGTCAGAAGAGGAGCTAGCAAAGATTTTCTCCCATTCTGTAGGTTTTCTCTTCACATTCCTAATTGTTTCCTTTTCTGTGCAGAAGCTTTTAACTTGATGCCCTCTCATTTATTAACTCTTGGTATTATTTCCTGAGCTTTAGGGGTTCTATTGAGAAAGTCATTGCCTGTGTGTATACGCTGGAGTGTTCACCCCGTGTTACCTTCTAGGAATTGCATAGTTTCTCATTTAATCCGAGGTCTTTGATCCATTTTGAGTCGACTGTTGTTCAGGGTGAGAGATAAGGGACTAGTCTCATTCTTCTGCATGTGGATGATCATCAGTTTTCCCAGCACCATTTGTTAAATCCTGTCTTTTCTTCAATGTATGTTTTTGGCAGCTTCATCAAGGATCAGGCAACTGTATTGGGACCATGAATTTCTGCTGAAAACATGACATTTTAGGACTGGGGATGCAGCCAAAGGCCTCATGCGGACGGGCTTGTGGTGCCTGCCTAGCGTGTGGAGCCGTTCCCTCACCAGAGCCACAGAAGCAAGACGTGACATTTAAGTCATATGATGTGGCAGTTAGGGAAACGATATCCTCAGCCCTTTCCATGTTTTGTTGTTATTGTTGTTTGTTGTTCACTAACCTACTTGGTGAGGTCTGTATTCATGTCTTCGTGGCCTTCAGAGTCTCTGATTAGCTTAGGAGTAGCTCATGGTTGGAGAGAAATTTCCTTAACTGCCTGGAATAACATCTCCCAGTGTTTGCCAGGGGGCTCCTTGTGTGCACTGGAGCATTTCTTCCAGGACTTAGCTGGACAACTCTGCCTTAGCCTTCACTTCCTGCTTTGCAGACCCTTAAGGCCAGCCAGAGGCGAGAGCTGGGGCTTTCTTGGCTCTTTCCTGAGTGTAAAGGTCTAATGTGCTTAGGAAGGCTCTCAGTTCTACGCATGTGGGTGCCTTCTGGATTCCCAAGGATGTGAGGAAGGTTTTCAGGCTCCGATGTACATCTCATCCTCCAGTTTTTCCGTTTAAGCCTTTGGTTAGCTGATCATTTGCTCCATTAGCCACATTCAGGCAGCTATGATTTAAAGTAACAGTTGTCTCTTATTTTTCTATCAAATGCCTCTTCACAATAAGGTGTTCTCATGGGCAGGGTCTGAATCAGTGCAAATAAGACGGCCTTGTGAGTGTGGTCTTTTGGGAAGCCATCAGGTCAGACAATGGTGATTTCCTGGTAATGGGGCCATGGAGAAGTTCTAGTCCTGTTGTGCCCCCTCAGCGACAGAGAGGCTGCTGAGACTCCCTGTGAATGCAGGCTGTGCTTTCAAGGAAGAGCCCCAGTGTTGGGGTGGGTGGGCAACAGGAGAGGGAGGCGGGCTGGTTAAATGCTCACCTGCTCTTCACCCTGAGACTTAGCTGTTTTTCGTGAATAAAATCTCCCAGTTTGCTCTGAGCTTTGGGTTCATCTCCAGCATTCTGAAAATGGATTCTGATGGTGTTTGCCCGGTTCTCCTTTGTCTTACGGAGGAGAGGCCTTCGGGGTCCTTCCTTCACCAGTTTTGCCGCAGTTACCCCAGCTCTGCCTCTGACTGTGTGTTTGTTTGCAGCAGACCCTTCATGAGAACTCAGAGAACTCAGATTGCTACTCCTGACTGTCCACTGAGGAAGTCGGTCACGGTTGTCCTATTGATTGTTCCAGTTTAGAAGTTTATTGGACCTGCTACAAACAGGGAGTTTAAAATCATGGTTTTGTGTTCATCTTAAGTGTAGCCTTTGAAGCAGCAGAAGCAGATCACGGCGAGCAGCATTTTGAGACTCTCCAGCTGTCCTTTAGAAAGGGAATAGACAGGAAGTGGTCTCATTTGTAATTGGTGCTTTAAGATAATGTAACTTGTTCTCTTTTGTCACAGGGATTTAACGCACAAAATGGCGATTATACCAAATTGGCAATCTTTCTGTCCTCACCCCCGAAAATACACATCTTCAAGACCCCATTCTTCACCTGGTAGAGTATATTCAAAGAATGGTTTCCAAAATATGTTCAGACCTTCTTCTTCAAGTGAGTATCATAGGCGAATAGAGACCCTAGTAGTTGATATCCTTCTACACACCAGGCATGGGCAAAGCTTTGCACGATGTTTAACCACCATAGTGACCCCACGAATTGAGGCGTATTTGTGGTATCTTCCTATTTGGGAAACTGAGACATGGATGGATTAAGTCACTTTCATAAAAGCTAAATAGCTCTTAAGTGGCTGGGTCAGAATTTGAGCCCAGACAGTGCAGTGCTGGAGTGACGCCCATGTCTCTCCCGGGGCCTCCGTCCCTCGGAGGCATGTCAGCCGTCGGGCTGTGCAGATCTGTAGGAACCTGCCTGTGCAACTTGCATGATATGCCGTATTAAGTACAACTACTGCTAGATACTGTTTCTTTTAAAATGCTGCTGTCTTTGTGTTTCATTTGGGATTATTTATGTGGACCAGATTTCACCTCCATAAGGTCATCCCTCTACCGTGTGCAGTCGGCTGCTAAGCAAGCATGTGTGAGTTCTGCCCATCTGAGACTGAGTTCTTAATTTCTAATATTTTCATGCAATCTTTAAAAAGTTTCCACGTCTATACTGAAACCTTCCATAAGTTCACATATTTTTACCTTTTTTCTTTAATCTCTTTAGCATTTTGCTCATTTTGGGGGGGGTACTGGGGGTTGAACTCAGGGGCAGTAGACCATTAAGCCACATCCCCAGCCCTATTTTGTATTTTACTTAGAGGCAGGGTCTTGCTGAGTTGCTTAGAGCCTCACTTTTGCTGAGGCTGGCTCGGAACTCCTGATCCTCCTGCCTCAGTCTCCTGAGCCACTGAGATTATAGGCGTGCACCACAGTGCCCAGCATTTCTTAAATACCTGATCATTTCTGTATTTGTTTTCTCTGTGGGTCTTTTTCTGGTGACTGTTTTTGCTCTTGATTAGGTTATATTTTCTTGTTCATTTATCTTGAAGTTTGAAAAGATAATGCAAGGCATTTGTATAAAATTCAGTAGAAATAGAAGTAAGTGATACCACCAGAAAGAGACGGCTCCCCTCCTCTCGAGCGGTCAGTGAGGTGGGTGGGCTCAGCACTGTGATCCCTACGCTGAAGTGTGTCTTGCTTTTGCTGCAGTTTTGTTGGATTTAGGTCGTGCCTGGTTTCACCTTCTTCCCTTCAGCAGGCCTGAGAGCGGAACACTGGGGAGACCCCGGAGAGCGCTGTTTTACAGCCCATCTGCCAGCTTGGTGTCTGCTCCTCGGCCTTCCTGCCGTTTCCAGGGTGGGGAGGTTGGTTCCTGGGAGTTCTCTTTGCTCACCAGCTCTGACCTTGCTTTCACACAGCGAGAGATCTCTGTCCCTCTGTGGCCCTGCTTCCTTTATGTTCACTCAGCAGAGGGCCCATGTGTTCAGAGATTCCGCTCGCCTCTTCCTGTCCTTGGCCTCTGTGTTCAGCTGCCTTGGGCTTGTGTACATCCTGTGGGCCTTGAGGTATATATTGTCACATACCAGTCTCTGGTGTGCGCTTGACCTCAGCCTGCAATTCTAATCCACCCACCTGTCCACACGTGACCACTAAATACTGGGTTTGCTTCCCTTGTCTGCCCTGCAGGGACAGAAGGTGTTATCCTCTGGATGACTGAGGAGTGGCTTGTGCTTTTGGAATTTAGTTTCTTTGCAGTCTCAAATCTCTGATGGGTTTTTGAACTATGTATATTTTTAGCTTATTCTACTTGTTCTCTTTGTTAGGGCGAAAATGACAGTCTGTTATGACTTTCTAGATCCTAAACGGATGTAGAAAATTTTATCAAATTGCCCTCCAGAAAGATGACATCCACTTATACTCCCACCAGCACGTTACGCAGGTTTGGTTCTGCTTTCATCTTCCTGCATTAGACATGTGAGAGAACAAGTTTTCCTTCACGTAATTTCAAAGTTTCAAGTAAATGTTTTCTCTTACTTTAAAATCATAATTATTGAGTGCAAAGTTGGGGCTTCTTGGAAAGCAGCTAAAAATATGCACGCAAAGTCTGAAGAAAGGTTTCAGATGGAGGGGTACGTTAACAAGAGGGACCCCCGGTGACAATGGCGGGGTAGAGGGGGAATAGCATCGTGCAGCTCCTGTGTGTAAACCAGCTGCTTCTGAGAGTCAAAGTGACGTTCCACGTCCTGGGGAGCCTCGGGGGAGACTTCAGCTCCCTGTCCCTCAGGCTCTGTGCCTACTCCCCTTCTCCCAGGCTGTTTTCTCCTGAAGTGGGTCCCCTGGCTCCATCCCCACCAGGCCCAAGCCACATGCTCAGTTGCTGGGGTGGCTTTCTGCTCGCCCCTTGCCCGGCAAACACCTCAAACATGAGCTGGACAGACAATCTCCAGTCTGCCCCAGGCCTTCCGTTCAGCCAGTGGCATCGTCACCATGTAGGTCCTCAAATGAATCATCCTTCATTTCTCCTTGTCTTCAACACCCGATGCCCCAACATCTCGTGTCCTTCGTAGAGTATATTTGCCTTTTTTTTTTTCTAGTCTTACTAATGTTATTGCTGTCATCCTTCATTGACTGACTTCAGAGGTGAAAAATGACTAGACTTTCCATTACAAGCCACCGAATGATCAGACATGTAAATCTAAACATAGTAGAAGAGCTACTCTTTGGTTTTGTTAAAACAGTGCAGTAGTTTTTATTTAGAATCTTAGCTTTAAAGGCGTTTAACAAATAGCTGTATCTCTTTTGTAGCCACAACAGTTGCAAATCCAATACTGTCCTTCTTAGATGTTAAACGGATTTTATTTCAAAAAATTACCGATAAAAGGGACGAATTGAAAAAAGCCTTTCAGCTGCTCGACACTGGTCAGAACCTGACTGTGTCCAAGAGTGAGCTGAGGAGAACCATCGCGGCCTTCCTGCTGCCGCTCACCAGGGAGCAGTTTCAAGAGGTGCTGGCTCAGGTACGGCGCGACGTAGCTATAGAGCAGGTGGCTTCTGGAACAGCTGCCGTGGGTCAGAGGGGCTCAGGGCTTATTCTGACTTTCTCCCCAATGATAAGCTGAAGCTGTGTTGACTTTTTACATTTCACTTATTTAAGACGAGGTCAGTTTGGAAGACCACGATCCACATTTGCTTGGTCACATTTTGGAGGTAGGAGTGTGTCTTTCTTTCTTTCTTTCTTTCTTTCTTTCTTTCTTTCTTTCTTTCTTTCTTTCTTTCTTTCTTTCTTTCTTTCTTTCTTTCTTTCTTTCTTTC